TTGTTGGTTTAGTATTACTACTTTATATGAAAACTGACCTTTTTGAAACCTTCACCCCTTTAGTCGACATCAGATCATATTAGAAATGCTTGGAACAGCCAGAGCTCTTCGGGAAACAACCGCCCTCCCGGAGGATATACACGGCTATCAGAGAGCGCAAATAAATGGAGATCGTTTCTACATTACGGCTATGTTTGAAAGACGAAAACTCCCTGCTGAGTTCGTTCTTGGAAATGGAAAAACATACGGCGGCTATGAGAATGTCCCTCTTAAACCAGGGACGCGGTACAAGGTGTACGTAAGAGGAGTCACCGAACGTGACGGGGTAAGTATTCAAGCTTCCATTGTGGATTTCAGCACCTTATCTCAATTTTGTTTTGTTTCGTCTCAGTCAGCCCGCTGTATCTCACTGAGTGGTGGGATGTTTTTTCTACAGAAGTGGCTTTACGGAGAACCCGCTGCTATCGTTCTGCCGAAAACTGGTTGGTGCCTTTCATATTTCAGTTTTGTTTTGGTTAGCTGGTCGCCAATATGCATCCCTTTCTTTACCAACTTCTCCGGGATTGTCTCCTTCACGGTCACTGTTTTGTATTTCGGTGCGTTTGAAGGCATTCTTTGTGACGATCATGATCACGCAAATTCTAGAGTCATTCCAATCCTAGCCCTCAGCTAAGTATAAAAAAATTCAGGTAATAATGCAGATTTGTTGCTACACATTTTGCAGATGAGTCGCCAGTCGTCAAGGAGGGTGACAACATGGATGGTGTAATCGCTGGTCTTCTGGGAGCGCTGATACTTATCTTGATTGCCATCGTCGCATTTTATCTGTATCAAAGGTAATGGTCAGAAAAACAAAAACGATAATTGCAATGATTATTCAAGCGACCCAAATTTTTTAAGTTGTCGCTGTCAAAAGAGGGTTTATGCTGAATTAGTTCACCAGTCGTCTGGTGAGATAAATACTTCTTTTGTGAATACCGTGGTCATGCTGGTCGCACAACACCGGCTCTTGTTTTGAATCGCTATCGCAGGACACATCACCTGGTTTTTTTTAGTTTTCTTTTGCTCTTTTACATTTTGCTTTATTTCCAAACCAGATCCAACAGGCCACCCAATGCTAGCCTTAAAGTGGAAAGTCAGAAAAAGGAGTTTGAACTGAGGCGCTTCAGTACGTAAAAAAATGCAGTGTGCACTTCCCTATGTGAGATAGGGAAGAGAAACTTGCACTTCCCTATGTGAGATAACAGATAAGGCAATAAAGTAAAACAAGATTGATTCCTAGAAGGAAATGCAAAAGCTAAGGGTACATAGCTGTTTCCATCGCTTCTTTGTCGAAATAAGTAGAATTTGCTTGGTAATTGTGGGTATGAGTAGATTTGTAAGAATCTATCAGCACGTCAAGAATATCAAGACAAGGGTGGAATCCTCTCCTGAATTGGTCGAGTTACGCGACTGCTCAGTTATTATATGATTAAAAGAAGAGAATAGCGATAAAATCAAGGAAGTAGGAATAAGAAATGTGCGCAAAGCTTTTTTTTGAATACTTTGGGTTCCAAAAAAACTTCCCATTTAAAAATGAGATTTAAAATAATGAATCTCTTTCATTGCAATGTATTCTGTGTGACTATTGACTTCGTTGCCGTTTAAATTTCAACTTTAGGTTAAATAATTTTTGTTATTGCTTTTTTTCGATTTCTCTCCCAGATGCAAGAGTCACAGCTGTGGAAAGGTATTGTGATGCTTTTTATTCTAATCACACTGTCTAAAACTTCCAACAAACTTTGCTTTTTACATTCAGATGAAGGGTCTTGGCGGAAAAAAAATCTGACTTGACCATCACCTTTAAGGTTATAATTACTTCCCACCCTCAGAGGTCGAAAAAATCGTTTTTTTCTTTATTGGACTAAATTTTAGCTAGACGTTGCACAAATAAAGCCCTGTTGTGTACAGGAGGGCGAAGTAGGGGAGATAGGTAAAGTACATGTTTGCACTGAGATTTTAATCGCCATTTTTCTTTCAGCGACCAAACCCAAGAGAATTTGACCCTGGTCCCTGTGAGTGTTACCACTCAGTTGACAGTTTCTGAAAGTAATGATCATCGTGGCCCGGAAACCAATGAAACCACCTTAGTATATGAAGAAATCGACCTGTTTTCACCCGGAATGATGGTACTTTCATGCTTTTGAGTAATTATTCTGGGCCAAAGTTTCAATCTCGCTAAGAATGATGCCTGTCATGAGCTACTTCGTGACGTGTTGGTGAATTGTTGGTAACGTGTCGGTGATGTGTTCGTAAATTCTCGGGGAAGTTATTAACATGACAATGGAGTGTTGGTAACGCGTGTTCGTAATGTGCTAACGATTATCTTCTACCTTTGGAAACAATTTTTAACTAAGTAGGTATTGCGTTTTTTGTTGAGCATTTTCATAAAAGGATACGGGCTTACTGTGGTACTTGGAACGCGAGCGTTTCGTTGTCGTATTACCACACTGACATCGCACATTGAGGTGCATATCGNATGTTTATCAAATTCATAGGCTAGTAGTGGAATTACTCATGTTCGATAAAAAAAAAAACCCTGATGGGTTCCTGGTTATGGATGCTATAAGAGAAAACTTTCAGTCTTTTACCTAGCTTACAGGAGTAAGGATATCTTGCAGTTTGCAACTTTATACGGAATGATAAGTTGAGTTTGCAATAGATGATTTTTTTCCAACGATGCGTTGACACGAGCTGGCTATGATCCACTAGTGTCTCGCAAACGAGAGGAAAACAGATAGGTTTCTTATGAATGGCTGGCCTACTTTGGCCATGGTGACTGAGCCAATAGTATTTTTACTGAGGTATTAAACATTTATTCAATATTTTATTAAAAGGGATGACATGAAAAGAAATTGTAATAAATAAATGGTCAATTGATGGAGAAACAATATGTACGGAATGATTAGTTGAATTTGCTATAGATTTTTTTTTCCCAAAAATGTGCTAACACGAGTTGGCTATGACGCATCAGTGTCTCGCAAACAAGAGGACAATAGATGTATTTTTTATGATAGCTGGCCTACCTTGACCATGGCGACTGAGCCAATGGTAGTTTATAGGGAGTATTAGACATTTATTCATTATTTTGTTAAAAGGGATGACATTTTAAAAAATGGTAAAAAATAAGTGGTCAATTGATAGAGAAACCGTGATAACTTGCAATCTTTTGTATTAACCCCGCACTAAGAGCTACTACAAGTGTGTCCTGCTTCATACCAGCTAAGTCGCACACCCTCAGATGCTTCATTGCCGTTTTATTAGAAACTTTTGTTGAATGACTTATGAACAAAAAAAACAAAAACAAAAAAACCCAAAAGATCAGGCTTGAGGGAAATCGAGTCCATAACTTAACTCGTTGTGACTGATATGACTGTGGTTTAGGTAGGTCCGATTTCTGTCCATTTCTTGTATCCGGTCAGCGATAATTTTTCGAACAGCAGCTGGCTGAGGTCCACATAATGTAACGTGCTCAATTTCCCGCCGTACGGTTGCGAAGGGATCGAAAGAGTATTTCTTTATTAGTTCGCCTCTCGAGCTGGCTTGGTTAGTGGGGCAATCTATGCATTTGGAAAACTTCATTTCAGCTACAGAGCTGGGTTTACAACCCAGTTACTTGCCATATGAGAATTCATTTTAGCTCCGAGTCACCGAGCTGAAGGAAACGTGACCTTTCAATTTCGTACTGTCAGCCACGTTCCTATGTTCAAAATGATGGGAAAATTTGCCATCGCAGGTAACGAAATAATGAAAAGAATGAGACTTAATAACGAGGTTCGCTCGCCCTCGCCGATCACTACGGAGGAGAGAGAAGCGAAGCGAGATCTCATAAACAGTGTATGCCGGGTTCGCTGGATTCAAATGAAGGGAGCCCGAGAGAATCCTCGGCTCCCAATGCACTTCTGCTTTACATTTACAATTATGTTGATATGACACTGTCAACACGTGTGCGGCGTTTCAGTTTTATGAGAGGATTCCATGGTTAGACAAAAACTTTTGTTGCTACCCGAGGTTCCGTGTCCGTCGCGTTAAGTCCATGCCTATCGCCCGCGCGTTCCCTCACTTTAGACATATTTAGCCCGAAACACGGGGAAAATTTTCAAATTAATTAGTTCACTCTCAACAGTCCTTCGTCAGAAGACTTGAAATTGAAGTTCAAAACAAACTTGATACAGGAAAATGAGACTCGAAACATCGTAATCAAAGAGGATACTCACCCTAACCGGACATCACTAACACGAGTAAAACCTATTTGGTACCATGTATATATGAAGTTCATATATTTTGAACTGCGGTATTAGATACGTATATATGATGCACGATCCTCGCAGTAGTAATACCGCAGTTCAAAATATATGAACTTCAAATATACATTGTAGCTGATTTATCATCACGGGTTTATTACGAATCAACTTAACGGCCTGCTCCCAGTTGGCTTGTTAGCTCAATTGGTAGAGCGCTGCACTAGTATCGTAGAGGTCAGTGGTTCGAATCCCGTACAGGCCTGAACTTTTTTCACGTCTGATTTTCGCTATTGCATAAATAGCGCTCTCTACTGCGAGGATCGTGCATCATACATAAAACCTGTTTCTTCGGATCGGTTTTAG